AAAGGGGGAGTGGAAGGAAAAGGGGTAGGTGGTGCGGGGAAAGGAGAGAAGCCCCGTTCCCAGTGGGCCGCCCTCTCACAGCCCTGTTGCTGGGGGTGCACCTCATAGGGGTTGGCTCCTGGGTTGTTTGGGGGGGGGCAGGGAGAGGGGGCAGGCACCTCCCTGGTCTCAGGCACTCCCTTTCATTCTCTGTTTTGTGTGTTTCTTTGTCTCCTTTCGCAGGTTGTGAGGGCCATCAACTCCATCCTGCTGCGCAGGGTCATCTGCCTGGGAGACCTGGACCCGATCGTCGCAGGATTTGCAGCCCTGGCGTTCCCTAACTGTGGTGGAGTGATTGATGGAATCCACATCGCAATTCACGCACCAACTCATCGAGTGGCCCAATACATACACCGCAAGGGCTACTTCTCGATGGTGCTGCAGGCCCTGGTCGACCACTCTGGATAGTTCATGGACATTTTTGTTGGGTGCTCGGGTAGGACACATGATGCCTGTGTATTTAGAAACTCCAGCCTCTACGGGAAGCTGGCACATTCTTCCCCTGGCGTGACTTTGGGGTTGGGGACATGCAGATGCCACTGTGCATCATGGGAGATGCGGCCTACTCCCTGATGCCATGGCTGATGAAGGTATACACCAGCCACCTGGACCCAAGCAGGGACCAATTCAATTCCCACCTCAGCTGGGCCCGAATCCAGGTGGATTGCGCCTTCGGGCACCTTAAGGCACGATTCAGGTGCCTCCTGACCCACCTGGGCATGGGGGAGCACAACACCGGGTGGTGTGAGTGTGTTGTGTGCTCCACAACATTATGGAGAGGAAGAGGAAGGGGGAGGCCTAATGGGGTAGGGAGCAGAGGCCGGCCGTGAAGGTAGGACTGTCAAGCAGCTGCGCACAGCTGCCATCCTCCAGGCCCATCAGTTGGGAGTGCGCATCCAGGAGACCCTGAGGAAGAGTTTCTCTCAAGAACTCCAGTAACTCTCCCTAGGGCTTCCCCGCTAGGGGCCTGTGCCGTGCTCCACTATCCCTTTCCCACCACAACCCCTCCCTTTCCCCATTCCCTTCAGTCTCAGGAAACACACCTGTTTTGATTTCAACAAAACAAACTTTGTATTTTTATTTCAATAAAATAAATCGAGGAAGAGGGGGGCTGAGAACCTGGAGTAGGGGAGCTCAGCGCTGGGAGTGGCATGTGGGGTGGATAGAAGTGCCACTTCAGGTCCGTGGACCTCAGCAAACTTGGGTTTGGGTGGGGCCTGGGAGAACAGGGAGGTGGGCAGGAGCAAGGGCTGCACTAGGGTCAGGGATGCCAGGGGACGGGGGAGGGGGGGTAGG